GGAGCTGACAGCCCCACACACTGTGCGAATTGCAGCAGGTACATTAAAAACCGCCCGAAATTCGACCAGTGTATGGGCAGCTTAAATCTGCTAGTGCATCTAACACCATCCTCCCCACAGGGTGACAACGCTGCTGTCCATGGGTGGCTGCATTGCTCCTCCATAGAGCGGAGCCACCCTAAGGGGGGTTTTAGTTTTTTTAAGTTTATGTACATTTTCAGCAATATTCAGTCCTAATATCTTCATTTTAACATGTGTGCAAAAAATGCAAAAACTGCTCTGGCAGAGAAAGGGATAAAAAAGAACTCTGGGCATTTAAAAAAAATTAAGCCTTGCAGTGGGGCTACCCCGGCACTGCAAAGATGAAGCGCTTGTTTTGGTCTGGGGTCTAAAATATAAAGGATATACTCACCCGATCTTAGGTCCTGCCCGGCTGCTAGAACGGTCCCCAAAGCCGCTTCTCCCCTGGGCTCTGGCAGTCTAAGCCCTCTGACATCCTCATGTCTATGCAAGGTCTAGTCACTTGTATTAGATGTGCGGACACTGAGGGACATACCCTAGCCGGAGCCGACGGGAAGAGAGGTGAGCAGTAAACCGCGGCAGGACCAAGGTGAGTTTATCTTCTTTGTTTCAGACCCTAGACCAAAATGAGCACTTAACCCTTGCAATGTAGGGGTAGGCCCACTGCACGGGTTCATTTTTTAAATGCCCGGAGTTGTTTTTTAAGGCTGGTGGACATGGGACGTCATTAAGGTAAGTTGGGTGGGAGAGAAAGAGTTAGTAGGCAGAATCAGGGCTTTGAATGGGTGTACAGCTGCAGGGAATTTGGCTGGAGGTGCTGGGGTGTATTTTGCATTTTTAAGCAAAAAATTTCCCTCTTTCCCATCTCAGCATGTTGGTATTTATGTACCTGAGACTGGTTATTCACTGGTAACCAGTGAATAAAATATGAACCAGTGTTTTAAAATAAAACAAGTGAGAGATGAAGGCGTTTTTTTTTTTTTTGCATAGGTACTTTTAAATATAACTTATGTTACACAGGTGACCTTTGTGTCCGTGCCATTGGCTGCTGTTGATAATAAAAAGCCTATTTTTTGCAATGCCCTTTCACCTCCAACAAATAACTAAGCATAACTGGACGGCAGTCAAGATGCTTATTCAGTGTTTGTTGAGCCTGATGACAGATCACTGGGCAGTGTGCTGGGCAGCTGCAGCCCTCAGACAGCCTCGCTTTTCACTTTTACCGAAATCTCGCCTCTTGTGCAACAAAACAAACAACAAGTCAACTCTGACACTGCTGTGGGAATTAGCATTTCGGCAAGTCAGTAGGGCAAAAGGCCTAATGCCGTTTGTACAAAACACAGAGGAATAGCTATCTGACCACTGACTGCTGGTAGGAGGACGGTGCCAGCTACAGAAAAATGAGGACTTAAAGCTAAACTCCGGTCTTCTCTATTCAAAATTATATATTATTATATGTATATATTATAATATATAGTAATATTATTGTTATTATTATTTTATGTACCAAATATCCTTTTGCACACCTGTCATTTTGCAGTCCCTGTTGCACACTACACAATCGAAGAGGAGGGTTATATCATGGTGGAGCTACGCTATTGACAGGGCAGGAGTTTGCATTAGGTACAGTAGGCTCATGCCTATAGGTGACAATACAGAAGCCATTCCCTGGGTCTGGCTATCATTTTGACAGTTTTTGCAGGCTTAGTTTATACAGGACCTACTCTTAAAGAAGAACTATGGGGTAAGTGTTTTTCCCCATAGTTCTCCTAAGGGTCACGGGAGGACACAAACTAGCGTTCCTCCCGTGACCCAAAGCTCAGTATACCGCAATCTACAGCCCGTGGTATACTGAGACCGCCGCAGCCAGGACGTATCCCGACATTACTGTCGAGATCCACCCAGCTGCTGATTGACAGCTGGCTCTGCCTATCTAGAGGCAGTGCCAGCTGTACTCTCCCCCGTCCGTTCCGCCAGTCAGCGCTGTAGGATCGGAGTGAGGAGATCCCTGCAGGGAGCCGTGAGTGAGTCACGGCTCTCTGCAGGGGCATGATCGAGAAGTGAGTGAGCGACGGTATGTGTTCGCTCACTTCCCGATCTATTGAGCCGACGTGTGACAGTTTCATTGTCACACGTCGGCTCGAACTATGAGGCTGAGTGAAAATTACTCACCTCATAGTTCTCCTTTTAAAGTGACATTAAAGTCAAACTTTTTTCCCCCTTCTCAATCCTGCTGTAGGGACTTACCTTAAATGATGCCTCTTAATCCGCTCATCTTCTTCTTTAGTGTAGTTTTTAGCTGTCCCTCCAGCGCTGGTGCGGGTCTCCGATCCAGCGCTGACTCCTCGGTCCTCCTCTTCTCTGATGTCCCGCGGAGTCTGTGCGGGTGCACGCTGCTCCATAGACCTACCTTGTGTCTCTCCTCGTCTCCCGGCCGAACATCTGAAGTGCGCATGCATCCGCCCCAAGATCCTTTGCGGCCGCCCGAGACTCATCAGATGTTTGGACGGAGCGCACGGCAAAGACACAGGTAAGTTTAAACCCTTTTTAAAAGGTTTATTTTTAATGTTTTTGCATATATCTCCTGCTTGCCAGCAGGAGATATATGCAAAAACATGTGAGGGTTTAATAACCTTTTATTGTTCCTGTGGATCAGCTGTCCCGCTGTGGTGAGATTTATAAATCCCGTCTGCCTCTGGGAGCCATGGCAGTTGCTGTCAGAGTCTTACAATGCCTCATGGTTCTTGTAGTTCCACAAAAGCGGAAGGGGCAACGTTTAGATACCCCTGCTGTACACGATGGATAAGCAAAATTGGCAAATTGTGGCAAAAATTTGAGATTTTGGCTAAATTTCTAAATTTTGGCTAAATGCGGTGAATCAATGGGAAAGGCGAAATTAAGGTCGCTTTGGTGGCTTTTGAAGGTGACGCAGGATAGGGATCACTTGTCTTTATTTGCATATTATACAATAAGCAGAAACATCTATTTCCAAAGAAACAGAATTATCCATTCACTACAGTAACATGTTGGCTGAGTCAGGAAAAAACTCTATCAGAGTTTAAAGTGCACCTAGAATCAGCTACAGTATATATTTTCATGTTATGTGCAAGAATGCTGAGTAATACATAAGTATACCACAGTTATTTATTACCTCTCAGAGATCACAGTACTGTCTTCATCTGCTTTTCTCCTCAAAAGGATGAAGCCATCTTTGTTCAGGCATCACCCAGGGGTGGCATTCCTGGACTAAGATATCAGCTCAGAGATGACGCAGTCATGTAAATCCTGGGGCCTTTGCAGTTCTTGCCTGTGCTCACAAATGTCTGGCACAGATCAGCCCAGTGCTGCAGCCTCTCACCTTGTACCTTGCAACAAAGTTATAATGTTGCAGTCTGATCACTGGAGGAGAGGAGACTGACGAAATGCTTCCTTCTTCCTGCAGCAGGCTGATGACATCATCCCTGCTTAGGCACAGTCACTAGATGGCAGCTAAAAGCCCAACTCAGGGTGAAATACAGTTCCTGCAGCTTAGTACGTTGTATAGTCCCTTTGCTGTAAACACCGCTGCCATGATAAGATTATCCTACTCCTCCCCTGCTGATGGAAGTCCAGCTCCTGCTGAACATCCATGCCCACTCCAAATCTCTTAGACCTCAAGCCCTACAGTACCATCTGTACGCCCCTCTCCTCCTGGCCAACCTCAGAGCAAACAGGGCCCCCCCTCCCTTTCCGTCTCCATTTTGTGATTGACAAGGAGGAGCGGGGGAAGAAGACACGACTGCAGCACTTAGGCCTGTGAGACATGCAATGCTGCAGCTGGAGTGTGCATAGAAGTTCAGCAGGAGCTGGACTTCCATGTGCAGGTATACGTAAAGTAACACTAAACGCGGAGTTAAATCTTAAAAATACATTCAAGTACCCTAACTAGTAACAAACTTGTATCTTATGTGTGTATCACTCGGCTGTAGATCCTCAAATCATCTCTGAATTGGTGCTGACACTGTCCTTCCTTCTGGAGGGTGACTACTTTTGTTCCCCAGGGTCACTGTGTGTGCTGTAAAGTAGTCATTGCTCCAAGCTCCCTCCCATGATGGACTACAATCTCAATACAAATTAGTAAACTAGACGTGAGAGCACAAGGAACAGTTTGATCCCGGCACTCCTGGGTGTTTTTTGGTTATGTCCTCCCACCAGCCTTCATGTCACTATAGGACACAGCAGTAATGTAGGGAGTGGCGAATTAATCCACAGAGCACAGCGAGTCTGGGAATCGGATACTTCGGAAAGTGTTGGGTTCTGAACATTATTCAGGCAGCTGATACTCTACAATATAGGGCAAAAGTCAGCAATAGGAGCTCCCATATTTTGATCCAGAAATTATTCTTTTAAAGGACAATTGCAAGGAACTGCATAAAAGCACCTTTGAGTTTACCAAGGTCTTCCTTTAAAAGTGCGGAGAGGTTGGGTGTCACCACTGTGGCGATTTTCACTAGTAATACAAAGCGGAGGCAGGAGACGAGGCTGTGGCACAGTCTGCAAAACTGCAGGATCTAACTAGGCATTACCACCCTCTTTATGCTAGCCATATAGCTATACTGTCTGATGAAATGCTACACAACGCTGGTTCACCATACATATAGTTTATTCACTCCAAGAACCAGCAACGGTATGGACACTGTCTAGTAGCTGCACACCTCTACTGCGAATTGCTTTTCAGAGGGAGCCTGCAGCCCATCTGAACAAGGTCTAAATAAAGGGTAAATATTTAAAACAATTTAACACAACTTTTGAATTTACATGTTAAATCTTATATGAGATTGAATGAATCAAGTAGCTAGCATATGGCAAACCTAAAGAAATGACGTCAGTTATTTAATACACATTATAATGTGTGAATAGTAACATATCACAGATGCTGTAGCAACAATCTAACAATTAAAGTGTCCTGTACAGTCCATATGGAACCAGAGCTGACATACCTGGAGGTAATCGGAGTGTAACATTATTACAGAAGTCAGAGTGGCAGCACTCGGTCCTAGTAATGTTGTTTGAGCTGTGACAGTAGACCTGAGCTTTCAGCTCCAGAAGAGAGATACAAGACTTGATCACTTCCTCTTTGCCATTGGTGAGCATCACCGACGTCCAGCAGGCCCCTTCTGTCTGGCAAGTGTAGTTGGTGGTTTCGCACATCAGACACACACATTTCAGACCTAGAAGAACAAAAAGAAAAGTGTAATTACACAACGTATCCAACCTTATGCCATACTAATCTCAAACATATTGTTGCTGGCTGTGTCAAGTGCAGGGAGAATACTCTAGGGCCTATTTTAAAGAGAATTGTAGGGTCCTTCATCCTGTAAATGTTCGTTTTGGGCAAATAACACCGAACACAAATGTTCCTAATACTTTTCCCCTAGTTGGAATGTATTATGATGTAACACTACAATATGGCCACTAGATGGTGCTGAGGAGCATAATAAATACTTATTTCCCATACTCCTCACCCCTATCTAGTGGCTAAAATGTAGTTTTACATCACAATGCATTCTAATTAGGAAAAAGTATATTAAGAACGTCCGCTTTTGTCATCATTTGCCCAAAACGTACGTTCACAGATGTTCACAGGGCAAAGGGCACTGCAAATTGTTTATAATTATACCCTTATGATTACAGTTGTATCACTGTGACACTCTGTGCAGTCCATGCACAATGTCAGGCCTATGTTTATACTCCTTTTAATACATATTTCCCAGCAAGCAAAGTCACACATAAGCTTGCCATTAGCTTTACGTTCGATCTGTGCCTTAAAAATAGGCCCTTTTGAGTAGATCCAGCCATGAACATGAACCCTTGAGTTGCCTTAGCAACTCCGTTTATGGAAGAAGAAGAAGGGGGAGAAGTCATCTGTAGGGGAATAACAACCATTAGACATGGATTTCAAGCTATTCCAATGTTGGTGAAGGTTTTCATTTCTATAGGACAAGGGTTAGCTGGTAGTAGACAGTCCCATTTAATAGGGCTTGTTTAGTAACGTTGAAGATGTTTCACCACAGTATTTATTACCCACACATGCCGAGGCACATTTCATGATACTATAGGTAAAGTGTTTGGATTAAGGGGACTGAGATGACTGCATGGCTAACGATGTTGGGTATGCTCCCAACACTAAGAAAATGAAAAAGTCACTTCTATGGGTTGTCAAACACCTTCTACATTATTAAAGTCCAGTTGAAATTAAAGTGTATCTCTAGGCAAAAACATTTTTTTGATAGAGTAGGTAAGGGTTAAACCCTCTAAAAAATCTTAATTGCTGTCTCCCCATTAGGGAGATTTATCATTATCACGTAGAAGGAAATTTGGGAAATCCAAAAATGTTGAGTTGTCCACACAAGAAGAACAAGAAGAGGAACAAGAAGTATGGGGAAATTTTTTTGATGGGGACAACTGTCTAAGAGGGGAATTACTCCTACTTTGGGAAAATTCCATTAACTTTCCGTTCTAACATCTCTGGGACAGGACGTAAAGGGAAATTTCCTGAATGGTACACAGACAGCAAAAGAGGGGATTTAACTCCTACCTATGGTACCCAAAGCTAAAAGAAAAAAAATTGCCTATGCAAACAATTTAATTAACCATGGCTGTCCATCCAATCAATCATTCCCCTTGTAAAACCAAGAAGACAAGCGGGGGGGGGGGGGTTTTTCAAAACTGGCGCAGTTGTCGACGGCCACC